TCTTCCCTTCCATGAACCCTCTTCTTTTATTATCTCTAAATGTATTAAGAAATGACCGAGTGCTCTGTCTTGGTCCAAACCAATACTATTTTTATATAATGGTACAAATTTCAATAGCATTTAGATATTATAATAGCTTCTGATGTCCACCCCAAGAAAGTATCATCATGACAGTTGTAGGCTTCATTGGAAACACGATTCCATGCTGAACTTGGACCACCTATATATACCACATGAAGGTTAACAAACAAAATACATTTCCCAAAGTTTTGATAACTTCAATAATATTACAAAAACTGAAATCATTTTGCAGTTAGATGGTGTGGACAAATGGATTTATATAAGTCATTTGGCTTGAAGTTTCTAACATTAGAAAACAAGTAGAATATACTAAACATTCTGTGTGCTTTACATACAAGCACTCTTTTTATTTGCAAGGACTATTCTAGTGGAAAACATTTTTTCAAATCTGAAGTTTTTTAAGTTCTAGAATAAAGAGCCTTTCTTAAGAATAATTTCTATCTAGTGCACAGTTTTCTTTTCCATATGTACGTTTTTGTTTATATACATACATTAGTAAAAATGGTAAGAAGCTTTTTTAAGTGAAAACTTTTTTCCTTGAAAAGCAAAAACAAAAGTGGTTGTATAACAAAACTGCCCCATTCAACACTTTGTATGTGTTTCATATGGGTAGGGGTGTTAAGTGTAAGCAGCAGCTGCCACAGCCTTTTTTATCTTGAGAGAAAACATTCACTTGGGCGTCTGCAGTCTGGCTGCCACCAAGCTTTTTTGATGTTTCAAATATCTGCTGCTTTGGTCAGAAGGGCATTTCATTATTAGTTTATGTGAAAAACTAGCAAAAATCTATTAGTCTGTTTGTTTTGGATGATGTCACAAATCTTCCTGGATTGGGAAAAACATTCAGGATTCGTTTTACAAATGTGCCCATGATTCGTAATCTATGCTTTAGACCTATTACACGGTTAACTTGTTTGAATACTTTTCTCTCTGTTGTGTCTGCCTTGCACACAGCCTCTCAGGAATAAATCTAAAACGCAATACGACTCCAAAAAACGTTAACCAGCTAGATTCCTAGAAAAAAATACACGGGAACCCCTTGTGATGGTAGATTTTTTTCCACCTGGTCTGGCAGCCTCAGTAAAGCAGAATTCGTTCTTACATTCATCAGTTATAATCAGTTCTAATATTTCAGGGGTCTTAGAACTTATCAGTTCAATTTGTGGCATTATTAATAATCACTTAATAATAAGTTAAGTTTTTGAGTTACTTGGTTTGCTTATGAGCTGCTTAGTTTCATTAGAATTATTCCGAGAAAGTTGGGTTGCTGTTTACCGGCATTTGTGCTTCCTTTCAACAAGGTTTCGTGCATAATAACTGCTCGGCTCTGTATTTACAAGCTTCGGGAGCCAGGTTTCTTACGCCATTAATGTCGTTAAGTGTTTAAGATCTCTGTGTATATAACATTACACAAAATGCTTGGAAAGTTTCAGGGACTATCTCAGTTTCTTGCTGACAGAGTTGTAACATAAACAGAGGGAGGAGGGCCCCTGGGGGCTAAAAACACACATTCTAACACCCACGAGGTATATTAATAGGGAAGAGTGTTCTTTCTTTATTTCCATCTCTGGTTCTCTGAAATTTTTCCTGTGCCCTCTCAATGTAGTGAGTGGTCTTTTGTGAATTAAAAAGTCATTTTTCAGAAACTTGAACAAGGGACTATCTAAACTTTTTTGTTTGGGGGAATTAGAGTTTGAGTCTCTTTTAGGAAAGGTGATTCTACTATATAGAAAATTCTGACATTAGTTGGTGCCCCTTTTTTACCCTAAAAAATAATATATGATAGTATGTATAAACTGCCTTTCTATTTAAAAACAGCAACATTGTAATGGATCAGGAAAAAGCTAGTATTCCTTTCATTGACTTTGTTTCTGATTGGATTCAATAAATGTTTTTTCCCTTGGGTATAGTACTGGTCTCACTGTGCTGTGTGATAATATTCCTGTAGTATGTAACAAAATTTTAACTGATTTCAAGGGTGTTTTGAAATGTGTTAACATTGTGCAGGGTTGACGCCAGTGTGTGTGTTTAACATGCAGACACACAGGACCTGCAGCACTAGCTCACGTTTCTGTAGCACTGCACCATTTGAAGAGTGCCTTCATTGATTTCACTGCGTCTCTCTAACCAGCCCACCGCAGAAGCACTGTCTCACTCAGGCTTTACCGCTATCCTGTGACATAGTGCTGTTTTACTGTTTCAAATGAATGTATGTGATATTGTCACAAGGTGTAACAACTAGTGTACTCTCATACCCACTTCAAGTATAATGGGAATTTAAAAGTAATGTGTATTTATATAGTTAAAAAAATCTGTGTAGCCAAAAAGTAATGTGCCCCGTGATGTGCCATTTTTGCTGAAAAGAGTTAGACTCCCTCTTGCAGCCTACTTACTTCTTCAGAAGTGAAAAATGAGGGCAAATGTCCAGCTCCCAGGTTGATGGTGAGGTCTAAATGAGCCAACTTATGTGGAAACCTGACTGGTGTCCATGTCAGATTTTTTGCCTTCTTAGTCAGGTATCTGTAATATGTAAATCTTTCTCTGAGGAAGGTAATTAGGTTAATGGTGAATAATCAGCTTTTTTAACCAGCACGGCATTAGACACAGGGCAGCCTTAATTCAAGAATACCTGGAACCACCCAGTGATGGCGCAGTCCTTGAAAACAAGACTTAAATTCATTGCAGAGGAAGGACTTGATTGTACTTGCTGTATTGAAGTTTGAAACTGAAACATTTATTTCAGCTGGCATTTCAGACATCTTATATTTTTATGATGTCATCTTGTTAAAATGTTTCCAGTAGTTAAGTTTACCTTTTCCTTCTTATAGTCTGAGGCTTTCAGCTAGAAACTAACGTTTATCTGTATACAATTTCCACATCCTGTGATTTATATGTAAATGAGGGCCCTTTGGGGACTAGAGAGGCGGGCTCAGATCTTTTAGACGGTTTTACCCTGCTTCTCTTGGTTAAGCCTGGAGGCAGAGTTTCTGGCCATTGAAATACATCTATAATTTTATAATTCATGTCAGTATGGAAATTATTATTAGTACATAAAAGTTTACAATACTAGAAGAAATTTACTCAATTTAAGAATTATCTTAAAATGTGAGTAAATGGTGTCTCTGCAGAGTTTGTTTAAAACTAATTGAGACTAACCTAAAGGGTAATCTGCACAACATGAAATGATCAGGTGTATTATTTAATAAAACTTATTAACTGCATATATTTACAGCCCAGATGCTGAGGCAGATACTGCCCTAAAGACACTGACCTTATTCAGCTCTTAATGATACCACCAAGACTTTCACAATAATGAGAAAAAGCATGAAATTTTTGGATAGTGTCAACTCTTGATCGAATGCATGAATATCAGAATATCTAATATAAGTAGATTTTGGCACTGTAAATGCCAAAAAAAGCTTGGGAAACCCAATCCAGTATTGGCTGGTGCCCATTGAGAGGTTTAGTAACCTGTCTGCGGTTGTCCAGGTCGTTTGATTTACACCAGGCAGCAGCATAATCCATGTCCTGCACCAGAGAGAACACCAAGACAGTCCACCTGCTGTGTCTGTGCAGCTCTGGTTTAAAGATTAAAATGGCAGAACACTGAAAATATAAGCCGAAATATGTATACAGCAGATCTGTGATTTTTCTGGGCAAA